CCCCTTTTTTTTCCCTCAAACAAAATTTTTTCCCGGTGTTTTTTTTTTTTTTGGGTGGGGGGCGGTATTTTTCTTTCAGCCATCTGGCAACCCTAACTCCCAAACCTACTGAACCCAAGCAATACAAACACTCACCATGCCTACCAGGACTTGCTATCACTCTATAGCAGGGCTACTCAACTTTGGAAGCCCTGGGGGACACAGTAATACTCCCAGCACATGCTGAGGGCCACAACTTAAGTGTGGTTGCCTATACATGCAAATATATGCAAATAGCTTCTTTCACATCGACTGTCATGAATACAAAGATTTAGGCAAGACTATACAATATACAGACCCCATTTAAGTTAGTTCTACTGATATTAATAAAATGCAATATTTACCTGATTTCCACCCATATGACAGCACTTTTAATGAGCAAGGACAATGCAGGTATTTAACTACTAAAACACGTATCAACAGAAGACCATTATATTGACTACTTTTTTGTTGTGGCTCCCACCCGCAAACAAACAGACCACGGGCCACATGTTTCACAGGCTGCGTGTTGAGTAACCCTGCTCTATAGATTAGCAACAGGCACATTCCCACTCGCAGGCTCTGGTCCACTGGATAATCACAGTATTCACCAATTCACTACTTTCATGGAAACAGTTACACTTGCATTTACTCAGATCACTGCTTCTCCCAGCCCACAGCACTTCAACTTGTTTACAGTGAAATCAAGTATCAGTTTAGTATCAAAGTATAGAGATTCAGTTAGAAGTAGTGAAAACAAATGATTACATATAAAATAAAATCACTGTATGTCCTCTAGAGCAGTGTCTCTCAACCAGTGGTATGAGTACTCTTAGAAGTCTGAGGGGTATGTCAACACAACTGAAATTTGGAGAAGACTTACTTTTTGTTTTAAGTTTTACAGCACTTTATTATTTTTGTACTTTTTACACCCAAAAATTTCATCGCCCGCCCGGCTACAATTAAGTTGTTGAAACAAATGTGTTGCAATATTAGAAAAAAAATTGTGTGTATGAAAACTGTAGGTACTGGAGATATTTATAATTTTTTTAAAGGGGGTACTTTATAGAAAAGGTTGAGAAATACTGCTCTACAGCAATGTTTCTCAAACTTTTTTTTATAAAATACCACTTAAAAAAAAAAAACCTTAAAACAAATTTCAGTTGTGTTGACGTATTCCCGAGACTTCTCTCAAGTACCCCTAAAGGTACTTGTACCACTGGTTGAGAAACACCGCTCTCAAGCTTAGATTTAATAAATGGGGTATTTTCCTGTCTACAACAGTATGAGGCTACATCTACACTACAGGAATTTTGTGTAAAAACGGCCATTTCTGCGCAAAAACCCACAGAGTGTCCACACTCAAGTGCATTTTTGCTTAAGAAAATGTACAGTGAATTGACAGAACAGAGGGGCTTTTGCGGTATAGGTATTCCTCTTTCTACGAGGAATAGCTCCTTTTTGCACAAGAGCTCTTATGCAAAAAGGTGTGTGTGGATGGGAAACAGGGTTTCTTTGCAGAAGAAGCACAGGTGCCCTGGTGGCCATTCTGTTAATGGCAATCAGAGCTTTCTTGTGAGAGTGTCCATGCAGTCTGGATGCTCTCTTGTGCATAAGCACATCACTTTTTCAATGCGCTTTTGCAGTGTGGGTACACTCTTGCGCAAGAAGTTTTTGTGGACGATCTCGTCTGCAAAAAGCTTCTTGCGCAAGAAGCCCTCAGTGTAGATGTAGCCCTGTCTCACCCAAATTTTCTAGTGCATTTTTCAGTCAATCACATAGGCAGTTTGGTTCATAGGAAAAGGACTCAGTGTGCTCCTTTACACTCCAGAGCAATCCTTTGCCTTTATTCATAAACAAGACTGTCCCCTGCTAATTATTTCTACCTGTAGATTTCCTCTCTTGTATATTTCGCCATCTCTCAATTTGAATTGGGCTAACTATGTGGCATACAATAGACAATACATAAATGGCCAGACAAGGAAGACAATGTCTATTACCTCCTGCCTTGAAGGAACACTTCTGAGATATGTCACCTGCTTTAACTCCAAGACCTTAAGAATATAATTTTCAGAATAGATAAATAGCTTCTTATTTATAAAG